ATACTCATTATTTTAATTCCATATTAATACTAATGAAGTCATTCCTTTTTTTTAGAAACCTACCAGAAATCATGCGAGAGAAAATTGGATGAAGTCCGTCTCCTCTATAACTAAAATTTACGCATTTATGTTATTATTATTCGACAATTAGGTAGAGTCACAATATCTTGTGCATGGATGATATTTTTGCAATAATTTATATTTTAGGCCGGAGGGATGAAAATTTCCCTTTTCGCGCTAATATAGATATGGGCTTTTCAAGAACGGCCCAACAGTTAGTTCCCAAGGCCCAAAATAGGTGTCGCCCTCTCCAAGAAAAGGTTCTATAATTTGGGAATCGTTTCATTAAATCCCTAAAAAAGCTTCATCGTCTCTTCGTTGTGGATCAACTCTTGCGTGAATTATCTGTAAGTTTACTCAAATTCTGCGCTTTGCTTCATCTGTTCTTCCTTCGAACTTCGCTAATACGGGATTGATTTTCCTTTTACTCATCGTCGTCACGTTATAGATTACATTATCTTCTCGTCGTACCTGCGCAAATCGAACTTCAGATTCTGATGTGAAATCGTTGTCGAGAAAGTCAGATATGAAACTTTGAACTGATCTGTTATCACTCGTTTTGATTGCCTCTGCGCGAATTGTTTACCTACAACAATCAGGGATAATCCTCTTGGGGCTCGTTTACTTTTAATGATAAGGATAGGATTTTGTTGAATCAATTGTTTACTAAAGCAGATTTTGATAGGATTATGGTGATGTGGCACAGAAGTGCATTTCCAAGTAGTCCCTCATTGTTCGAAATAAATTATCCCAGCTTGGACACGGGAATTTGCAATCCTGCACTATTCATACCATATTTACCCCTCAAATAGTCATGAAAAGGACTTTAAAACCCTTTTTTTTCTCGGGCAATGCTATATGTACACCCCTTTTTAATAAATTACACAAAGGGCAATGCTATATGTACACCCCTTTTTTACACACAAGGGGTGTACATATAGACACCCCCTTTTTTTCTCCTTATTTACGAAACTAACACTTTATAAGGGCTGAGAAGGGAGACGCCTAGCAGACGACCCTCACACTTCTTCTCCATACGCAGTGCATCTGTGAAGCGATTTTTTTCAGGTGGAAATAACAGGTGACTTCAATTTCATCAGAAATTCGTATTATCCTTCTTCTCATTTGTTCGTTCGTTTATGCCTTTTTTTGGTGAGCGCTTGAAACCATATATGTTGTTGTTCTTGCATTTCTAATAACAGTTTAGGTTCACTGCTTTATGAGGTACGATATTTCATCTCCTCGTCCGAATTATTTGAAACCATTTAACTATTTGCTTAATTGTTAACTCATTCACAATTGAGATGAACAAACAGATCCCGGATTTTATTTAACTTTATAATTTAATTTAATTATTGTCAAATTAAGGTGGAGGATTTGCCCTTTTTCGGTTATGGAGCTTGGTGTATCTAGGGTTCATAATCGTTTTGGCTCACGGAGAAGAGTAATCGAAAAAAGGCTAAGGGTGGATTGTTTAGGGACATTTCAGTCAATTATGATTTACCCATATGAATTGTAAGAAAGTTAGAAGCCAATTTTGAGGAATCAAGGTTGCGGCGAATCTGATAGTAAACAAAGGAGAGGATTCATCTCATGCTGATGTGGAAAAAGTAAAGGACTATTTTATCTAATCCCATCATTAAAAGTAAACGAGCCCTTGATGTGTAGTGTTTGTTGTTCAAACTTTTTGAAGTAGTAAATAATCCATCATCTATCTCTTGGTGCTGTTATGCGTTTGTACTGAAGCTTTTTTGAATTTCGTAGTTTCAAACTAATTAGTAAAGAAAATGGAAAAGATCTGAGCACACACTTTTGGGTCTTCTGTGATTTTGGATTTTCTGTTCGATTTAAATGCCTAGAAGAGTCTAATGGAGATGGTAGTTTGTTCATACATACAGTCTTGCCAAGTAGAAATCGCGGATTTTTATGCTTTTCGTATGTTTTGTGTTTTTTACATTATCTTTTTTCTTTTCCAAATGTGATCCATAAATCTGCAGAACTCCGAATCTTGAAAAAGGAAAAGAGAAAGAAAGTTCTAGAGAATGTCTGCATCTCACGCCCCCGCCACCACCGACTCCCTTTTCGGAGCCTCGGAGGCCAAGACCCCTTCTGAGGCCATATCAATCCTATACGGCGTGCTTGAGGACCCATCATCCTCCCCCGAGGCCCTGCGCATCAAAGAACAAGCCATCAACAACCTTGCCGATCTCCTCCGGCAGGAGGGCCGGGCCCACGACCTCCAGAGCCTCCTGACCAAGCTCCGGCCTTTCTTCTCCCTCATCCCCAAGGCCAAGACGGCCAAGATTGTCCGTGTCATAATCGATGCCGTGGCAAAGATCCCTGGCACATCTGACCTCCAGATCTCCCTCTGCAAGGAGATCGTCCAATGGACCCGTGCCGAGAAGCGGACCTTTCTCCGCCAGAGGATCGAGGCCCGGCTAGCCGCCCTTCTCCTCGAGAACAAGGAGTATCCGGAGGCCCTCACTCTCCTCTCAGGCCTCATCAAGGAGGTCCGCAGGCTTGACGACAAGCTTTTGCTTGTCGAGATCGACCTCCTTGAGAGCAAGCTCCATTTCTCGTTAAGAAATCTCCCGAAAGCGAAAGCCTCACTGACCGCGGCCCGCACGGCAGCCAATGCGATCTACGTGCCTCCAGCTCAGCAGGGAACGATCGACTTGCAGAGTGGGATCCTCCATGCAGAGGAAAAGGACTACAAAACGGCTTACAGCTACTTTTTCGAGGCTTTTGAGGCTTTCAATGCCCTCGAGGACCCGCAGGCCATCTACAGCCTCAAGTACATGCTGCTGTGCAAGATCATGGTGGGGCAGGCGGATGACGTGGCAGGGATCATATCGTCACCAAAGGTGGGGTTGCAGTACCAGGGGCCAGAGCTAGATGCTATGAAGGCTGTGGCCGGGGCCCACGCCAAGCGGTCTCTGAAGCTATTTGAAACGGCCTTGCGTGATTTCAGGAGCCAGCTGGACGAGGACCCAATCGTGCACAGGCACCTCTCGTCCCTGTACGATACGCTCCTTGAGCAGAACTTGTGCAGGCTGATCGAGCCCTTCTCGAGGGTGGAGATTGCACACGTGGCCGAGCTGATCGAGCTGCCAGGTCAGCACGTGGAGAAGAAGCTGTCGCAGATGATCCTGGACAAGAAGTTTGCGGGTACCCTGGACCAGGGGGCAGGGTGTTTGATCATATTTGATGATCCCAAGACGGACGAGATTTATCCGGCGACTTTGGAGACGATCGCGAACATGGAGAAGGTCGTGGACAGTCTTTATGCAAGGTCGGCTAAAATAATGGCTTGAGGAGACTCATGTGTTGTTGGTTTGGAGCACTTTTGACTCTGCTAGTAACTTTCCTTTTCCATTTTATCAGTTGGTTTGAAATGTGGATCTATTATATAATTTTCATTTTGATTTTTGTGATTCTGTTTGAGATTGCACTCATGTATTTCGAGCAATTGAATTGTGTTGTGCCATGATTCGAAGTTAGTCCTGTTGAAGCTCTATGGTATCGTAGGTGGATTCTGTTACTCAGGCAAATAGGGACTCGTAATGGAAGAATGTGATCTGTTGTGAAGATTGATGTTGTGTTGTGGGATCAATACCTAATTGAATGGATGAAGTGATCTGGTAATTCAGATGCAGGCTATTGTGTACCTCAGTGAATGGTCAAAATAGCAGGATTTATGATAGAAGCTGTTTGAGATGTTCAAAAGTCGAAAATCAAATGGTCAATTATATAACCTGGAAGGATGGTAAAAGGATGTTAGGTAGAGGGTGTAAGCATTTGAGAGCTTATTATAAGCTTCTCCAAATGCTCATGTTGTTAAAATGGAGGATTCGAAAATCACTTCTCTTTCACAAACTTCGTCAAAAGCCGACAAGTTACTACGAAAATGGTGCAGCAGCAATCGTTTTCTCTCTAAAACTTCCATCTATGAAACCAGATGGGTCTTTTGCTAATTTGGCACATGCATTTTTAGCCTACACAGGCACAGCTATATGATGTAATTTCAACTTCACATGTAAATCATTTCAAGGTCTCCTTTTTCTTGTACCAATCTACAAAGCCTCTTCTGCGGGTGAAAGGAAAACAAAAGAAGAAAAGAAGTGAAATGTGAACTAATTGGCGCGAAAGGTCCAATCTGCTTGTCATCTTCCATCAAAACCTTCAGCTGGGTACAGATATAATTTGGTATCCACACAGAAAGAGAAGATTTATTAAGCACAGTTAAAAATGTGTTTCCAATAGAAACATACAACTGTAAGTCACAAACACAAGCTCATGCACTCCCAGAAAATGGGGATTGCAAAGTAGATCAGTCGTTATTAGTTAAGTAGGAACTTATCAAGCCACTAGCTGTTGTAAGTTGACCAGTCATGCATTCCGAAGAATCAGCAGTCATAAAGGAGCTGATCTGATGGATAGCGATCAAGGCTGGCGCAAGCAATTAATCGGGAGGTCTCAAAAGGGAGATGGAAACCATTAACCTTTGGTAAGAGTCAATTTAAAGTTTCTCATTTCTTTTTCGCTAAGTAGTGACTCGTCCGCGAGATCAGAGAATCATAACAAAAGCAAAAATAATTGCCCATCAACACCCAGAGAAAATACATATATAATTTTTAATCTTTTGGTAAGGGAGAGGATACACTGCTTAAGCGCTAAGTCACTACGCCTTAACCTCCCATAGCCACGGCCATAGGGCGTATGTACATGCAAACATAGGTTGGCATCTCAAACTTCTAGCTTACTTGCAGTACTATGCTTTTAATTGAATTTACACATCCTGAAATCTCTTAAGCACTTTCAAGAAGGGAAAGCCAAAAAAGGTTGAAAAGACGGTGTTCGTATTTATTCACAAAACGTAGTATAGAACGACCTTGTTTGTTATTTCTTTCTATGTTGTAAGGACACTTCGTTATGTATCACTATTCTGTGTATCGGTAGTCTGACACAATTGTATGCAATGGGGTTTTGGAAGACGATGTTTTTCCACTGTGGAAATAAGAGTAGGCAAAGACAGCAGAACCAAGTGTAACTGCAGTGGCAATAGAACCCCAAATCCATTTCTGTCTTCTCTTCCTTATTTGCCTAAGTCGCCTCGTCTCCTCTGCAGAGAGATTAAAAAAGATGGACCAAATGAGAATTTTTGCCACTACTAAAAAGAGAGAACAAGCAGTATGCAATTTGTATATAGTAGACAAATATTTAGATAAGGAAAAAGAAAATTACAATGTCAGAATTCAAATGCATCACCAAGAGAGAAGCCTCCTAGTTATCGAAGGAGGATAATGCAGTGAAACATCATTAAACAATCAAAAGAATCATTCAAATAAAACTGTGGATACAGCAGAGCTAGGAACGGAACATTAAAAAGAAATGGACAGCATTTTCAAACAGTGAAATTAAGTAACAATATCAAGCTCTACAAAATCTACCAAGGAAACGGAGTGTAACAAAACTAAATTAAACTAATCACTAAATTTTAAAAGCAAAAGAAAAATGAGAATAATCAATAGATGATTGATATATTCTTCAAAACAGAAAATAAAACATAAACAAATCATCGACTACGATAGACCATCTCAATTTAATTTCCTTGTGGCATTAAAATTTAGAAGAAAGTATGATAAACGTGCACCATGCATGTTTACATAACTAATTTAAAAGACATGCTTTAGAAAACACACCTACAACTTCTTGGTTCCTCTGGGACATCTCTTGGTTCACGGTTTCATAATAACGAAGCCTATCCCACAAACGAGCTATTTCAAAGTTCTTCAACTTTATCTGAGCTTCCATCTCCATTTCAGCCTCAGCCTTTGCGATTCCCTTCCCAATTGAGTTAGCAACAAACCGGGCAATATAGACTTGTTGCCAGACCTCCCCAGCAGGATCGGCAGGTTGTTCTCCCTCTAGCAAACAAGTTTTTAGATCTTCAGGGAGTGTCAAACCCAAAAGAGATAATTTTTCACGGATCCTCTGCCACTGGTTTCGCATATTACATAAGGTATCTTCAGCTTGTTTCCTCTTTTCTATCTCCATCAATAAACTTAGCCTTATTTCACGCAACTCACTCTCGATATCGGGCATCTTAAGCTGAGGGCCGCTCTCTGATGATAATTCTGAGGCAAGAGATGCAAATAAGTAATGAAAGGCATAAGTCGAGATGATAAAAGAATAACTTGGATGGTGTTTCAGGTTTGAGAAATAACTTGAAAAATTATGACAACACAGTTTGATTTTTACTGCAACACAAACAAGTCAAAAATATAAATAGCAAATGGAGGTACCTTCCCAAGCATCATAGAACTCGGCTAATGGCGTGCTCAAATTTAGGGACCGATCAGCTCCACCAATACCCTCACTTTCACTAATGCTCCTAACACTCATTGAGTCCTGTGGATCAGCAAAATCATCATCCTCGCCATCTTGTTGCAAATCAAATCCAACAGCAGACTTCAACATGCCTTTTTGGCCTTCCGGACCATTCTCCGCATCTAAATTTCCTTTCTCATCAATGCCTGTACCGTTCAAATGATTTTCTCTAGCAATGGATGGTACAGTGGCATCATCCACACGAAAAACGTCAGGAACCTTCTTAGAAACAAACCCATCATCCTCAGAGGCTCTTGCTGTCACCTCCTTTTCATCAGTATTCTCGTTTCCACCCACCTTGCCCTCGCCAGCCTCCCGTTCCCAAGTTGCCACATCATACTCAGAAAAGCTCTTCATGAGACGTGGGCCCCGCCGCTTGTGGTTGACGATGTAGGGTGACGGGGGGAATGAAGACGGGGAATCAGGAAGTGGGGTCGGCTCAGGTGTTGCGTAGAGTGCCGGGGAGATTTGAGTCCGGTGGTGTTTGTTACCGACAGATACAGATGTGCTTGAAGAACCGTTTATCCTCTTATCATACTTTGAATTATGAGGAATAGGAATTCCTCTCCTCGGATTCCGACTACGGGCCTCAATTTCCCTGAGCTGGCTAGTGTTTGGAGTGCTATGCCTCCTCTCGATCTTTGAGATGGGTGGATCTGTCGCCGGTGGTGTCATGTAATTCGAGGCTCCAGGTTCAAGCAATCTATCGAAAGCTACGGATGTAAACGTCGGCATGACTTTCCAGCATCAAACTATCTGCAAACAGAAATGAAACGCTATGTAAAGGGTACATTTCAGAACACTCGAAAAAAGAGAAACAGGGAAATGAGATTGGGCAAAGTTCTGTTGAAAAATTGTACAATCAGCTGGTTTTAAAACATACAGGATCAGTGCTTTAAGTTTTGATTTTTGCTTCTGGTTAACATTTTTACAACTCATTCACCCAAACACTCTTTAACTTATTCTGCCTCCCCTCTCCACTTAAAACGCTACCAACCTCTAATTCTCAACTTATCACTTCATCTAAACGCAGACGCTTTCGCAAATTGA